CAATACACATACAGACAAACGTATACACACACTGACACACATGCAGTCAGACATCATTTATAAAGATTCAACCTGATAAAACCTCAGATGTTAACAAAGCATTAGGTTACTGTGCTTGTGCTATTAAAATCATTCAAATCATTCACCTTTTGGAAGACATGTAAGAATATTATTAAATGTGCATTGTCACTGTTTGGGCACTTTGCTCAATCCATCTGTCTGATGGTGACATCGCCGCTGGGGGTAGGTAAAGGTGATATTTACTTGCCTAAACATGTCCCTCGCAGGCACGACCATCTTGATCCAGTGGATCCTCTTCGGAGCTGATGTCACTGCTTGACTGTAGCGTATGCAGCAGTGACGGCTGTCAGGTCTGACACTTAGACACCACTCTGAGTCAGGCAGAAGATAAATACAGAGACAAATGAGTTCCTACTTTTTCTGTGTATATCTCTTGACTGGGTTGGAATTTCCAACACAGTCAAAATTAGTATTTTGTAAAGATTCTATCTATGAAATACTCAGTTTTTGGGGGGGAGGAGGGAGGGATGGGACAGTGCGGTTTTAAGAACATTATTTTTGCTCTCGGATTCTGTCCAAAGAATGTTTTTTGTAACATTTTTACATGCATTTCAAATTTCTTTTTTATTTGACTTAGGCATAAAACATAGAAACAAGTTATTTAGACATCCCTTGCACTCATGCACTCTTTTTGAAAAATGGAGCACTGCAATGGGCAATGTAGGACAGCAACCACACACAATAAATCAACTTTTAACGATCATTTAATTGTTTTTAAACATTTTTTATAAGCAAGAGAAATATTCTCCTTAGTAGGAAGCTGTGGAGGCTTGTTCCTAGGGCCAACTGGGGCACCACCCTACCAGCTGTTGCAGCAATTAAATAAAAATATGCATTGAAGCCCTGTAACCCCATGCTGTTGGCATCGTAACAATTGCAGTTTCTGTGTTTTAGAATAAAATGTGTTGCATCTGTCTGTTTAATCATGATCTCATTATTTTTGGCAATTTGAAATTCCAGTGAGAGGAACAAAGCATGTGAATATTTTGGGTTGTTTTTGAAACTGTTTAACCATTGGCATGGTAACAATTACAGTTTCTGTGTTTTCAAAAAGCAAAAACTGTGTTGTATCTTTAATGATTTTTCTGGGGCGAGTTTGGAATCAGTTTTCTCTCTACATCTTTATATGACATGCTTAATAACACTGATCAAATATTAGACATCGCCAACTGCTTCTAGCTGGGCCATCTAATTATACACACCCTAGGAGACAGCCTTATGTATATCTGGCTTTTAGAGCTGTATGTGGTTAATAGGGCCAAGCAGATCTCCATTTACCCTGATGCTCTGATCCATCTGGGCTTTCCTTGAATAGGACTGCTGACTCTGATTGGTACATGGAATTATAGTAATTTGCAATAACCATCCAGCCCATCAAGCTATTCTACAGACAGAGGGCACCTTTCTTAAAGGAACACTATTGGGTCAGGAACACAAACATGTATTCCTGACCCTATAGTGTTAAAACCACCATCTAGCACCCCTGGGCCCCTCACGCCTCCCTAAAAATAGTAAAATCTTACTTTTATTCAAACCTGAGGCTGCTGGCTCTGCCCTGTCTGCCTCAGACCAGCAAGCAGTCTGCAGACATCATCAGAAGTGGTAGCCTGATCCAATCACAGTGCTTCTCCATAGGATCGACTGAGACTGACAAGGATGCAGATCAGGGGCAGAGCCAGCACAATTCAAACACAGCTCTGGCCAATCAGCATCTCCTCATAGAGATGAATTGAATCAATGCATTTCTATGAGGAAAGTTCAGTGTCTGCATGCAGAGTGAGGAGATACTGAATGTTTGGATGCATATTAGACAGCCATGACCCAGGAAGGATCTCTAACAGCCATCTAAAGAGTGGCCAGTGAAGGTATCACTAGGCTGTAATGTAAACACTGCATTTTCTCTGAAAAGAGCGTGTTTACAGCATAAAGCCTGAAGGGAATGATTCTACTTACCAGCACAAATCCAATAAGCTGTAGTTGTTCTGGTGACTATAGTGTCCCTTTAATGCCTGCATTAGGTCTCTTCCTCCCCTTTAGCGACGAGAGTCTTGCACTCATTGCGACATAAAAGACTTCAGACCTGTAAACCTGATCCTCAACCACATACCCACCTTGTCCACAAGCAAGTCAGTACTTTTTACTTTAATCCGGTATACTGTAAGCTTTAATTAGCTGAATACTCAGGCTCACAGGCTGAGATGGGACTGGGTTGATCACAAATACAGAGGAAATGCTCTTGTCAGTGATATCATGAACAAGTGAATTTAAATGTTTTTTTTGTGTGCTTGAAATGCAAAAAAATAAGATATTTTTAAAGGGACCTGCTATTCCAGTAAGTGTGCAGCACTGGTAATTGTTTAAATTAAGTCACTATAAATTAATTTACATGAGCACCACAATGGAAACAGAATAACCTAATTCCTGAAAAGTGTTTTATGAAACATTCAGGATTATTTACTAAAGAGAGAACTAAATTTTAAAATTAATGGCCAGAGTAGTCAATCTTAAAACATAATTGGCTTAGAAAACGTTTCCAATTCCACTATTTTGTACTTATATTTGGAATTAGCTTTGAATTCTCTGTCAGGACAATACAGTGGTCTAACACGCAGACTTAAGTCAAACACAAAAAATAACAAACTAAGGAAAAACATATTACCGGGCCTTAGAATGGCTGGAATTAACGTATATAGATTAACCAGTAACGAGCCGAGGTCATGGATACAGACAGAAGCATAAAAGGTAAACAAAAGCAAAGGTTCAGAAATACAGATAGTCAGAACAAGCCAAGATCGAAAACCAGATAAACAGTAGACAAGAACACACTTTTGGATAACCAAACAGAATGGACACTATGACAGGGCAAAGAGAAAATACATTCAGGGGTTTAAATAGCCTAAACTTTGCTATCGGCAGGCAGAGATCATGTGATTCCAAAATGTGTGTGAGCGCCCGTCTGCGTGATCCCCAACGCCACTGGACTGTGGTATCACAGCACCTGGCATCCATAGTAACTCCTCACTTGCTACGGAAGGGCGCTCTGGTGGATCAGGCAGTGATCCGCCACGTCTTAGGTGAGTACTTGTGTGACTGGACTGATCGGGTGCAGTCACATGTGCTCCTGCATCTGCAGCTCTGACATTCTCACTGTTGTGAATATTCTGATTCTATTCTCTCTTTTATGTAACATTATAAAGCACTGCTATTAGTCCTTTGCCCACTAGATGGAACTATATAATCTGAGGATTCAAGATAGTATACCTCAGGTTAGACTATAGTCTTTATTCACTAAACTCTAGAAAACTGTACCTGACTTGGAAATATTCAGCTACTCAGATGTAGCCACAAACTGGCTATTTTGGCTTAGATTTTTCCATTTGGCTTTCAATTTGCTGCAATCCAAAACTCAACTGGTCACAAGACTGTGTCAAATGTCAGGTGTGTAAAGTCTAGTAACCCACCATTTTGTGTCTACACTGGTGGGAATAGACTTCACTCATTCACAACACTTCAAAGAACTTCACAACATTAAGTTGATGGAAAGAAACAATATTATCTACGTTAACTCCTCAATACAAGTTCTGTGCTCAAGCCAGCCTCATTACTAGAGTTCCAGCATTCTGCAAATGCATCTTGAAGTTTCAGTGATGAGGCAGGCTGAGGCATACTTCCCATGGAAGAAGACAACTTGGCCAGTGGCCCTATATGTGTGTGGGTGTGTGTAGCTGTGTGCTTGTATATGGGAGTGTGTAGCTATATATGGAGCATGGATATGAGGTCCCCTGGAAGGAAGACATCCTGGTCAATGTCCCCAATAGCTGAAGCTGCTTTTGAATTATGTTTATTCCATTATAATGTCCTACTTCAATTAAATTCAATAATACATATTGACCAAAAATGCATCTGATTGCTTTGATATGGTGTCAAAGTAATCAGAAATTTAGGGGGCAGAGATAAATCGGTGAAACTGGGAAGACATTTAGGTAAAGGAGACTGACAGAGACATTTAGGGAAAGCAGAGATACCGGAGAGGAATTTAGGGAAAGGGAACAGATGGGGAAGACAATTAGGGAAAGGATAGAGATATTTGGCATACTTAGGAAACAGAGACAGATTAGGAGACATTTTATGAGAGACACAGTGAACAAACATTTAGGGAAAGAAAGTGACTGCCCAATATAAACACAAACATTCAGCACATGCATCCATGCACACACACTGTCCATACATACATTATCACACACACTGCTCAATATATAAAAATAAATGAGCAGCAACGTTTCAACCTGCTAAGAGGTCTTTGTCAAGCTAACAAAGACCTCATAGCAGGTCGAATCGTTGCTGCTCTTTTTTGTTCCATTGAACATGCATGCGGCTTGAACACCTTGAGTGCGTGGAGATTTTCTTTTTGTTAAATGTGCCACTGTCTCTAACCACTGTCTCTAACCATAGGCTTCTGGTGGGAAACTAAAATGATATTTGCAATGAGGGTTCTCGCAAGGAACATCATTATTTTAATCCAATGTTATTTAACAATAAGGTGATATTTCAAATAAATGCTATGAAAATCTTATAACTAATTATTAGTATTATTATATCAGCCAATGCAAAAGAGACAAATTATTGTTAGTTATGCATATTCAACCAGGTATAAAAGTGTTTGTCATTTTAAGAGGGACCATATGAGCCTTTATGGATCATTATTACTTCTCGTTAAATTTGACCACTCTTGGGCGAAGCTTTAACATTAAATACCGTACATATTGTAGAATATTATTTCAAATGTTTAATATGTATTAATATATATTACAATATGGAGTTACTAATCTAGAGGAAAATGTTTAAACAGACAACAAACCAGTCATATATACAAAATACATACTGATTGCTATAGAATTTTGATGCATAAATGCTATATTATAAATTCTTTTTTATTATGATGTCTCCTTTTTTTGTACCTGCTAAGAAGTATTGTTCCATCATATTGTTATTTTTTATACAGAAGTACATTATGACTAAGAATAAAGTTTATTGCAGATTCCAAAGATATGGAGTGTTATTGTTCTGCTTAATGATTCAGTCATACATATACATATAAATTAAGTATTTTCACATGTATAGAGCCAATACAAAACAGTGATCTCTTATTTTTCTGGTTATAAATTGAGACTTGAGGAAATGAGATTTGATATACAACAAAATGATTGATTGTTTATGATTCTCTGCCTTATTATGTTGTGCAACATCATTTAAGGTCTTTCAACCACTACTGTAATAGTAAATACATAAACTGTGTTTATTCTTCAATTAGTTTTCCAAATAAAGTAAAATTGAATTAAACATTAGTAAACTTCTATTCTTCTCTATCATTTTAAAATTTTATCACTAACTCTAAAAGCGGTCACGCTTTTTGTAAGCATATGATCCTTGGATAATTTTGTGTCGAGACAAAAAACTGAAACCAATATTTTATGACCTCGAGAAATACATAATTTTTTAAAAACAAAATTGTACTATTTAAATAAGTACATAGAATGCTGTGGCTGTACCTGGCTTACATATATAAGCATTTTTAAACAGACATACTATACTATAAATGAAAGAACAACACATAATGAGCATTGTATTGTTTTATTCTTTTTATTTCCTCATGCTCAACTGAAATAACAATGTATAATTTGCAGTAAATATATAGATATGACTGTTGCAAACATATTGAAAAATCTTCATTGCCTTTTATTCCACTCTTCGATTTCTTGAGTGTAATTTATATTAAAATTTCCCCTGGAATAAAAATGAAAGAACAGACAATTAATGATCTGATTGTGTATATTTATAATTGTATATAAAGTTGTAACCAGAATCAGATCATTTGCTAAACCATACATGTTGCAAGACAAATTGGAAACCAACTTATTTTAATCATTGATATTGGTGTTCTGTTTAATTGAGAGAATGCATGTAATATAGCCTCTCGGTTTATCATTTTGTGATTTATACATATAGTTAATACCTTTTTTTTCAATTTATCTCCTGGCCTAACCTTTCCATTGATTTTTTGTCAAAACTGTGCATAATTTGGATGAAATTAAACCAGCTTTACAATTTTCAGGTGCCAGGTGCTTTTACATGACTTTAGTATTCGTGAATGTGCATTTTTTTCTTTGTTAAAACAAAAATACAGGAGAGAGCACACAACATATAATTTAATCAAATATTGTCACCAATACAGAATATGTTACAACCTTAAATAAATAAAAGAACAAATCATGGTGCAGTATGCCACATATTCTCATACAATTATTTCCGTAGTATGTTTAACCAACTCATATGTTGCTGAACCACATATAGTAGGCTCAGACTCTAAATGCTCCAGTCAAATCCACTCCCTATAGTTATTTTGTTGTTCTTCTAGCCAATCAGTATCAGGAATCACCTCCATGTTCCAATAAAATTAATAAGCATAAGGGAAGCTTAAAATACTACTACCTTTATTTGGTAACAAATAAACATATAATCGGTGTACCACCTGTTTCAACCAATTGGTCTCCCTCAAGGTGCAAAGTTGGTATACATTTCATTTTGCACTACAATTATTTTCTGTTCAATGGTATTTTCTACCTACAACAAACGGGTACAACCATGGGGACCAGGTTTGCACCCAGCTATGCCAACATATCTATGAGATATTGGGAAGCCAACTCCGTGTGGAGGGGGCATGGCTGGGTTGCAAATCTGGTCCTCTAAACTATTTATAGATGACATATTGTTAATTTGGAAAGGAACTCAAAGTAAGCTAGAGAAGCTTTTAGAATTTATTAATATTAATCACTATGGTTTTAAACTCACTCACACATATGACACCAAATGTATTATTTTTTTTGGACATCGCATTCTATATTGAGGGTGGTGAAGTTCAATCAAAATGCTATTTCAAAGAAACTGAAGGGAATAACTTCATACATAAAAAGAGGTGCCACCATGAGAATTGGCTGAACTCTATACCCAAGAGTCAACTGATTCGCATTAGAAGAAACTGCTCTAAGGATATACGGTAGACTATCAAGACCATGCAAAATATTTGTGCAACAAATTGATGTAAAAAAAGTATGAAAAAACAGCTCTAGAAATAGAATCAAAAAGAATTGGAAAACTGAATAGGAAAGAGTTAATAAAAAGAAGAAGGGATAAAGAACAAAAAGATGATTTTAAGTATGCTTTTATTACTCAATATAACACACATCATAAAATTAGGAAAAAATTCTAAACAAACATTGGGATATTTTATTAAGGGATCCAATTTTATGTAAATTACTTCCAAAAAAAGGCACCCATGATTTTTAAAAAGGCAAGGAATCTAAAAAGTATGTTGGCCCCAAATTACGCTCTGAAAAACATATGTAAAAGCACTTCAACCAGTGGAACTAGGGGTTTCAATTTGTGCAATAAATGCAAAGCTTGTATGACACAGATTATTAGGAAGAAACATTTTTAAAAGTTAGGTCACGGGGAGGGAATTCACTATTAAATCAAACATAAATTGTGAAATGAAAAATGTAATATATTTGCTCCACTGTCCTTGTGGGAAGCAGTATGTGGGCCGAACTTGCAGAAAGTTAAAAGAGCATTTTCTAGAACACAAAAATAACATTAGAAATTTTTAAAATAAATATAAAGTCCTCATCCATTGTAACGCATGTGCTAAATTTAGCTGGAAAGAGTTTTATTATGTGGGTCTGGAAAAAATAGAAAATTATTGGAGAGGTGAAAACGTAATAAAAAAAATTGCACAACATGAAACATACTGGATTAATATGTTAAAAACCCTCCAACCAGGGGGACTATATGTGGACGTAGGTCTATGGTGTTTTCTAGAGAAGCTCTTTTCCTTTCCCTTTTTTTCTTTTAGCTTTTTTCATCTTTATTTGTGAAGGAACTGTTTTTGTGTGTTATAAAATTTTAGAAAAGTTTAAGAATCTTTTTTATCATCATGTATGGAACAATCCTGTGTGAAAAAATAAATTATTATTTTTTACCCAAAATAATTTTTAATATTTTTGCTCTAAATGTAAAGTGAATAGAAGTATTGAGTGCTCTATTATCAATATTAATCTTTCCCTAACAGGATCGTTCCATTAATTGATATATTTAAAAATTTGGTGTTTAATAAAGTATTTTATATGTAAACGGTCATTAGACGTCATTAATATTTTTCCCTCCCCCCTTCCAATATGTTTTGGCCGCCCATCCACTCATTTCAAGAATTCTTTCTAGAATATATTGCACTCCCCTGAAGTGGAACGCATGGTGAAACGCATGCACCACCATGAGACTCCGGCAGATATAATGAGGATGCTGAAACGCATGCATGGAACGCATGACGTCATCATGCACGGGACACTATGACGCCGGGCGGACAGAACCAGGAAGTAATCATGTGAAAATTGAGATCAGCCGGAGAAGAAGGAAGGAACCTATAGAATGAAGATTTGGACTGATTGTGGGGTGTATATATGTGGGGGGAGGGAGATTTTTATGCACTTTGTATTTATCTTCAATTGAGAAACAGTCCCTGAGAGTGATTTTATCTTGAGAATCCCTTGATGTCAGCTGTCTTTTACTTCTATGTAAGTAAATACATTTTGCATTGTGCACTTTATTATAGTTATCTTATTTGGCTGCACTTTATCTATTTTACATGAATGAGATCTACATCAATAAAATCCAGCAATTGAGAAGATGGATGTCCAAAGATTTCTGAAGGCTCTTTATTTGGCTCCAATATGTGAGTAGCCAATTGGCACCTAAATATACACCATATTGTGTTACACAGTGTTACACTATGTTGTATTATTCTTGTCTCCCCTAGCTGGACAAACCCTATATATTGCAATTATACTGATTGAAGATTTGAGGAGATCTTCGGGTAACCACATTGCTAGAAGGGAAGTAAAGTGTTTCGATACATGTACTTTAGCTCACTTAAGCACTTTATTATCTTAACAATTAGTGCAATTACACTTAAATACACTTTATTCTACCTAAGCACTTTAATTGTGTGATATTGGGAAAGATTCTGTTTCTTTTTGTTATATCAAGGTGTATAGTGCCAGAGTCCAACATATCCTCCATTTATGGCATTCTGTATATATGTGTGACGTTATTTTCACGCTATCTTTACTCCATTATCTACCATATCTATGATATTGTTCCATTTACGGCAGGAGTCTGTGGACAATTGGAAACAGTTATAGCAAATTTAAAACGTACACACATCTTTTATGTATAAGAAACGGCCTAAACAAAGGTACATTTCAAATGATACATATTGAGAAAAAAAAATAAACATTCATGGTAAACATTAAACGGATAAAACTAACAAACACTAAAAAAGAGCAAGAAATTAGAAAGAAAAATCCATAATAATTTTTAAATTAGAAATTAAATTAATCCATATATAAAATCATATAAAAAACTTGACAATTTATATCAAATAAAGTAAGATATTTAAAAATCTACATTTAACTTTTTCGGCACTATGGTATTTAGGTAAAAAACAAACAAAAAAACAACTCAATTATCATTTCTTTTTTGTTGTTGTCAATCTTTGTTTTATTGAAGCAATGAGAGTACTTTACAGAAAGGAAGAAAAAGAGATATGTTAGCAAACATGCACACATATGCAGTAAACAATAACATCGATACATTCTCTCATGAGTGACTGCTTAATTTTATGTTTGTAGCGTAATAATGCTAAAGTTATAGGCAGGCTAGTCAGAGATGAGTTAAAACAATAGGCATGTCAGCAGGATGGCAATAGACATCAATGAATAAGACCGAGACAGGAGGCATGATTTAATCTTACAACAAATCCACTAAGCAAATCTTTATACATTTTTTGGGGGGATCAGCTCGGTTTCCACAGTTTATTGGTGTTTACTCTGATGTCTGTTTTAACATTGAGGGATTTCTAAGTAGTAACATCAGTGTTTGTCAGCAGGGCCAGCCGTTGGGGTGTGCACGCTGTGCGGTCACGCAGGGTGCAATGACAACAGAGGCGCCCAGCGGCCAACACAGCTCACAAGTTGGGTACACCAGCATATTCAATTTAAACGATTCGCTGGTGGTCCACTGGTGCGCACCAGCAGTAGGTGCAGTCAGATCATATCCTTTCCCTCGTGGTTCCGGCGCTCAGTTAGTGAGTAAGAGTCTGCCCAGTCAGAGTCAGAGATTCTGAAAGTCAGAGCCGTGAAGGAGTAGGTATGGCAAAGAGTTACTGATTAGCATTACATCAATATTCGTTATAAAACCAGGAAAAGGTGGGCATGGATGGTGAACTGATTTGGTGGTGCAATGGGCCACATGACTGGTTTTGCCCCCCCAGGCCTAAGGCTGCCAGCC